AAGTAGGCCTACAAGCATATGGCAACATCATTTGTGTACACTTTCTCCAGACATCTCCAGCATAGAATAATTGGCGTATAATAGCGCCCGCTGACAGGTGACTTTCAATATTAGTCTATGTAACATAGAGGGAGAGGTGTTATGTTCTAGATAGCATGGTGCTTTTGTAACCAACTGCAAATTTGCCTGTTGTTTGAAATAAAATAAAATAAAATAAGCTAGTTTGATTTTGTTTTAATATAATTCCCTGGTATGACCGCCTTTTTCCTTGAAATCTAGGGGAGAGCGGGGTTGGTTGGAACACTTTTCACCTTTTTTGCGATATCTCAGCAGTCAAAGCTTTGGGGACAAAAATAAAAACACTGATAGGAGATAATTATATGCCGCACTCATCTATGAAATAAAACATGAAGTAGGTCTTTTTATTTTAGAGCAATAAATGCTCAAAGTTGCCTCTTAAAACGTTCCATCTCACCCCACCCGCGGGGTAAGTTGGAACAGTCAGTGGGGTGAGTTGGAACAAGAGGGCGAGTTGGAACGCTTGCATATAAATTCAAAGTATAATTCATTTTAAAAGTAGGTTTATCTATATTAATTTCCCAACAAGTACGTGTTACCTTGCATTTGTATCTCCATAGTTTGTAAGCATTTTTTACGTTTACAATTTGCTTTTATAAACCATATCTAGTTACACTTCATTTCATAATGATAACAAAAGTGGTGTAGTTTAAGAGAAAAGAAATTGAATTCATATAACTCAACCTATTAACAACAGTATGTTAGACCTACAAATGAAAACTGTATCTCTTTCAACTCAACAACTCAGAATCAAAATCGCAGTTCTGACATATGTACACTTGGTCAACCTTTGTACAGTCTTCATGTGACCACTTTAGACAAACAATGCATTAAACCCATTTCTCTTTTGGTCGGCTGTTAATGAACGGCTTCCCACAAACCAGATATGGCCACTCTACTTCTGACTCAGAATCGCTGGTCATCTTTAATTTCCTTTTTCTTGATTTTCTCTATCGACTAGAAATCTTTAACTGTTTTTTATTTTTGTTGCGCTTGTCCTTTTTAATTTTGTTGGGCTTGGCCTTTTCTTTTTCGAGTAGCTCATTTTCAGGTGTGTCAGTTAGTACTGCACTGCATCGTTTTCTTCTTTTAATCTTTGGACTGCGACGGTGAGCCTTTGGAACCGGTCTAATTATTGCTGGACTTGGGCTGTTTTAGGGTTTTCTTAAGTGCGCTTTAGTGTGCTGTAGCACCTCTTCCGGTGAGGGCAACTGAGATTTCAACTGAATCTTTGCCTAAGTTACGAGGTGAATGTTTGTCTTTTCTGGCGTATTTTGTACCCTCGTTCACTAAACATTAACAGCAACCCCCAATCCATTACACAAAGCATTTAAAACAATATCGGCAGAATTGGTGTTGTATAGTTTATGCATAACATAGGCTCTCAGCTAGAATATTTTCATTTTGCCGCGTAAAGCAGAGTAATAATCGACATTTCCTTCCACATCTAAAAGCAATTTATCGCAAAAAAGCAACGTTGGGCATACAGACCCCTTACGACCAAACAGCTAGCAACTGCATTTTACAAGCAGTGACCATCCCCCTTGTATCTTCTACACGCATGTACATTCCGGCATCTTGGAGATGTTCTATCAGCTAGATTCCGTCTCCAGTTGGAGTTGTACTGGCTTACTACGTTACTACTATTACTTCGTTATTACTTCAAAGTTGAAATTAAAACATTTAGAGAGGTTTTAAAAAATGACAAACACCGTGCGGGGTGGGTTGGAACACCCCTGACAGTGTTCCAACTGGCCCCATGTCAAATGTTCCAACCAGCCCCCATGACGTCATGGCCTACTTATGACACTGTATTTCTTTAACACGTGGGAAGTGATTAAAAAAAACAACAGCTTTTTGAACATCAAGGTGGTCCTAAACGCTGTGCAGAATTTCAGTGATATAATCCTTATACTTTAGTTTACAGCACGATGAATGTCAAAAATATGAAAACTTACTTCGAGTAGCGAAAATTAGTTTTTTTCGCATAAAACTTTTACTGCATTTTCGAAACTTCCACAAGTTTACCGGATGAATGACCATGCCACGTGACATTTTTATGCTGAAGGAGCACATGATCGGTCTTGTGATTTAAGAAATAAAGCCAATGTTCCAACTTACCCGCGTTCCAACCCACCCCGCTCTCCCCTACTGTAGGCCTAATATAGGCCTAAGCGTTTGACCCTTTCCCAAAGTCACAGTTTCTACATGTAGGCCTAAGTCTTCTACAGTAGTAGATTTCCTGCAAAGCTACACATCTTTAAATTTCCCAATTCAGACTTTAAAAATTAATTAAAAAAAACTCAAATAAAAGGGGCCTACCTGCACTCGGAACTACTCGGATGTCTCCGCACTCGACAATAGTTAGTATGGAGCTCGCGGAATGAGCCGAGGATTGCCGATTGGCCTACCTGGCGTCGATAAAGTTCCCTACGACACGTAGCCCTACGGGATTTGGGTAGCCTACACACCTAGCAGTTATTTTTACTAGAACTAAAATGACTTCAATCATTATCAATCGAAATGGAATAAAATGGCCGATAAAACATCGACTCCAAGTGCAAAGACGGGTAGAGTTGTAGGGCCTAATTTTTGACAAGGCAAAATTGTTTTTAATTTCCGATTTTTCTAGGAAACTTCATTTTGGCCGGTAAAAAATCGCAAGGAATCGTGCTGGTGGCTACCCAATAAAATTCAGTTATAGTCTAAGCATATATGACCACGATTAATTCAAAACTAGGCTTTGATTTTGCTTTTTTTTATATAACTGCTATCCTATGTGGTATTTTTATGATTGTTTTTAATGTTTGTCGTTTTACCAACATTACGCCTACTGCAGAGGACAATAGACGGTTGGGACGTGTAGGAACTCTTTTTAGTGGAGGATTGAAAGAAACGTTATTGCACATGCGTATATCTAGTATATCTACTTTCCTGCACGAGCACGCTTTTAGTAAATCGAGGTGTAAATCATTAAAATCCACTCAAATACCAACACAATGATTTCAAAGATGTGTTTTCGTTTTACTAGTGTTTCCAGGAGTATTTTCTCCACGGCTATTGCAACAAGAACCCCTGGAAGAATCGCACATGTAAGTCTTGTTCCAAGTCGACAGGTTTCCCACGTGGGTCTGCGGCAACGTTCACAGATACTGACAACATCAAATAGCATCAGAAACAGTTGGATTCAGACAAGATGTGCACAGTCTGAAGGTAAGAGGGAACATGTTAATTTACTTTTAAAACTGATATTGTTGGAAAACAAGGTATCTGCGTGTTATATTGGCTGACGTAACCATTAGCATTGCAGGGCACTGCGTGTACTGTAGCTTTGCTTATGTACAAAAGAATGATTTTGAGACTGAGAGTGCTGTTGTCATGTTGGCCTTAGGTTTAGTAAACAGTTTACTGTGATAACTAGGTGGAAATATTTATTATCATTTACTTAGTATATCGCAGACATCAGCTAATTTCTAACAGAAATCTTGTTTTATTTTTTATTGCCAAAGTTATGATTTGCTCTACTTCTGTCTGTGGTGATAAGTTGCTTGTATTTCTGAAAAAAGTGAAGAGTATCAATATTTTCCTCCAAGAAGTACTGATCAGACAGCAAACCCATTTGATTAAAAACCAATAAATCCATTTAATCNATTGTCTGGACTTGAAGAAAATGCTTTTGTGAAACGGGCCCTTAATGTTTTAGTTAAGAGGATCATAAGATGTCCAACTGGGCACAACTAATGCAATACTGTGGCAACACGGGACTTTATTGTCCACTTTGCTATAATGGCATTTGCGTTCAAACCAAGCCGAAACCGCCTGGCTTTCTCAGATCGATCCCACAAAATTAAATAAAAAACTTTGTGTTGTGTTCAGAGGCATATATTTTATAACCTCTTTTTAACGTGATTTAATTAATACAAGTAGGCCTACAAGCATATGGCAACATCATTTGTGTACACTTTCTCCAGACATCTCCAGCATAGAATAATTGGCGTATAATAGCGCCCGCTGACAGGTGACTTTCAATATTAGTCTATGTAACATAGAGGGAGAGGTGTTATGTTCTAGATAGCATGGTGCTTTTGTAACCAACTGCAAATTTGCCTGTTGTTTGAAATAAAATAAAATAAAATAAAATAAGCTAGTTTGATTTTGTTTTAATATGATTCCCTGGTTTGACCGCCTTTTTCCTTGAAATCTACTGTAGGCCTAATATAGGCCTAAGCGTTTGACCCTTTCCCAAAGTCACAGTTTCTACATGTAGGCCTAAGTCTTCTACAGTAGTAGATTTCCTGCAAAGCTACACATCTTTAAATTTCCCAATTCAGACTTTAAAAATGAATTTAAAAAAACTCAAATAAAAGGGGCCTACCTGGCGTCGATAAAGTTCCCTACGACACGTAGCCCTACGGGATTTGGGTAGCCTGCACACCAAGCAGTTATTTTTACTAGAACTAAAATGACTTCAATCATTATAAATCGAAATGGAATAAAATGGCCGATAAAACATCGAATCCAAGTGCAAAGACGGGTAGAGTTGTAGGGCCTAATTTTTGACAAGGCAAAATTGTTTTTAATTCCCGATTTTTCTAGGAAACTGCATTTTGGCCGGTAAAAAATCGCAAGGGAACGTGCTGGTGGCTACCCAATAAAATTCAGTCATCGTTCGGTTTTATAGTCTAAGCATATATGACCACGATTAATTCAAAACTAAGCTTTGATTTTGCTTTATATATATATATATATATATATATATATATATATATATATATATATATATATATATAACTGCTATCCTATGTGGTATTTTAATGATTGTTTTTAATGTTTGTCGTTTTACCGACATTACGCCTACTGCAGAGGACAATAGACGGTTGGGACATGTAGGAACTCTTTTTAGTGGAGGATTGAAAGAAACGTTATTGCACATGCGTATATCTAGTATATCTACTTTCCTGCACGAGCACGCTGTTAGTAAATCGAGGTGCAAATCATTAAAATCCACTCAAATACCGACACAATGATTTCAAAGATGTGTTTTCGTTTTACTAGTGTTTCCAGGAGTATTTTCTCCACGGCTACTGCAACAAGAACCCCTGGAAGAATCGCACATGTAAGTCTTGTTCCAAGTCGACAGGTTTCCCACGTGGGTCTGCGGCAACGTTCACAGATACTGACAACATCAAATAGCATCAGAAACAGTTGGATTCAGACAAGATGTGCACAGTCTGAAGGTAAGAGGGAACATGTTAATTTACTTTTAAAACTGATATTGTTGGAAAACAAGGTATCTGCGTGTTATATTGGCTGACGTAACCATTAGCATTGCAGGGCACTGCGTGTACTGTAGCTTTGCTTATGTACAAAAGAATGATTTTGAGACTGAGAGTGCTGTTGTCATGTTGGCCTTAGGTTTAGTAAACAGTTTACTGTGATAACTAGGTGGAAATATTTATTATCATTTACTTAGTATATCGCAGACATCAGCTAATTTCTAACAGAAATCTTGTTTTATTTTTTATTGCCAAAGTTATGATTTGCTCTACTTCTGCCTGTGGTGATGAATTGCTTGTATTTCTGACAAAAGTGAAGAGTTTCAATATTTTCCTCCAAGAAGTACTGATCAGACAGCTAACCCATTTGATTAAAAACCAATAAATCCATTTAACCAATTTGCCATCTGTGTCTCTTCACTATATGATCATTTTTTAAACACCTTAATTCTACAGCGGACCAAGCAATGTCTGAATATTTGGCTAGTGAGATTAAAATGGAGAAGGAAATGGGAGCCAAAGGTAAAGGCAAGGAGTCCATGCCTGGTTGGGAAACGGAATGCAATGGCTGCAATGTTATACTGAAAAAAATGAGAGGAGATGAAACGTAAGTACACATAAAGCTTTTTTTGATGTTGCATTGAGTGTATATTTACATGATAAGAAGCATTTTAAAATGTTGGTTTTCAACATAACGCAGTTTGCTGCTATATTAATCAGTAAGGGCTAACTCTTGTGTCAGTGAATTTAAATAAAATAATAAATGAAAAATCATGTTGTAATTATAATTGTTTTTTTTTTCCACATCATTTATTCTATTAACACTAGCTTAAAATATATGGCTTTAACAAACTATAGGGCAACTTCAGTAAGCCAAGAGATGTTCTTATACATTTAAGGTATTTTATTTTAGGATAACAGTGAAGTTCAATGTAAATCATTCAGTTGATAGCAATTTTGATGATACATATTCAGAAGAGGGAGATGTTGCTGAAAAGGAAGAAGAGCCAGAGGTGGGTGGCCCTATACAGATTTAATATTGCACTTTTATTCATTTCTGACAAAAATGTTTCGAGAATTCATTTGTAAATAAATTAGGACATTGGTCTGTGAATTTTATAGTGATTATCAACAGTAGGCTGACTGATGGCATTTAAAAAGCTAGTGTGCTGTCACATTTGTGCTTTTGTTCACCACTGGTTTCATTGGAAAGCGTCTATAAGAAGTTGAATTACACTTCATATGGTCTTCTGGAAACTAAGGTGGCTTATGCAAGCATTAGGAAGTGACTCAGTGCAAATGTCCGTAGTATTAAAAAAGTCTCGAAACAGATAAAATCCTTAAGTACTGCACTAACTTAGCTTATTGTATTTATCATTTCTTTTTATGAAGCAAGTGATATGAAAATTACTGTAAACTTTTATTTTATAGCTGGTTTCCAGACCCATGTTTTCAGTGGAATTGTCAAAGGGAGGTACCATTTTGCAGATGACCTGCGTCTTCTCTGATGCCAATGAACCAATAGAACCAGATCAGACAGAGGAGGATGTATTTGGTAAGGTGGCCCAATAACTGCAGTACAATTTATGAATTAATATGTAGATGACAAAGTATGTTGTACATTTTTTTATTGAATTGCACACAGTCATTTTAAATAGTAAAAATTTAGGTGAAAGAATTATGACTGTGTATTACTAATTGATAAAAATGGGTAGTGTGAATGCTTTATTTGCGTTAAAGACTCATTTTGTACCCTTATATTCCATACATGCCTTCTTATATTATTATAATGTGTATGTAAATTATATTGCAATCAAGATTTTTAAGTAATACAGCTGTAACAGTTTTTGGAATTTTGCCTTGCAGAAGATGCATTTTCCATTGATGATGTGGCATTGTTAAGGCAAGGAGAAAGCAATTCTGAGGCAGTTTATAGCTTGACGGCTGGAGTTATGGATGCAGTAAGTAGGAAATGTTTTAAAATAACAACTAATATAGCAATGAATAGATTTTGCCTGTGATGATGATACCCATCAACTGACTTAGATGAAGAACATAACTTTTGTCCTCTAAGAAGTACTGGACAGGCATTGGATTAGTTTTTTTTCTCTAGGTCATTCCATTTACAATATATGAAGAAAGGAACCTAATTAAACTACTGAAATAATTTTGGTCTGGACACGCATATAACAATTTTAATGGGTACAATGACTTCTGTTGCAGGATGTGTACCAATTACTGATGAATATGCTAGATGAAAGAGACATTGGGGAGCAGTTTGCACAAGATCTTCAGAGTTTTGCCACAGCATATGAACACAAGCAGTACATTTCATTCCTGGAAGGGCTTAAAGCTTTTGCTTCTAAATAGAGTAGTAAAACTGAATTTGTTGGCTAAGGTAAAGTCCACTCTCAACATTATGGATATGTATTTGAAGTTTCTTTGTACATCTTGCTGCACTCAGTCTGTTCACTTGAATCATTGCCTCTACTACATATTAAAAAGGATGGATGTTCTTCCATGACTTCAAAGACAGCAACAGCAAAACTGTCATGGTTTCTACTATTATGCAGTGGTGTAAACTTTTTATTTTGGATAATTGGTGTCTGTATAATTTCCAGTAGAAACAGGGATGTAATCCAAGAATAATAAGCTGTCAGGTATCAGTTATTTAAAAATGACTGAAGAATGCCATAGTGATTAAATGACTAGGCAAACATTCTGTTTGGCCCTTTTAGTCAACTGCGTTCATGGATAAAGTACACCTTTTAAAAAATATTTAAACTGTGCCTGTTATCTTTGCATTTATGGATGAAATACACACTTCAACAAACATTTCAACTGTGCCTGTTACCTTTGCACGAATGGTTTTATAGTACATTGGTTAAATACTATTCTGTTCTCTCAAGTAAAACTTCTAATCCTGGTTTATGTTCAATTTTGATTATAAAAACATTTTTAAAGTAGTTTCATTGATAAATAATTTGTAGAATATTGTATCATATACGTTTTGTATAACAGTTCTTCAAACTTGCATGAACAAAGCTTTATAATGTGAATAAATTCTGTGAAGTAGTATATTTTATTATTATTTTTCTTTTATGATCTGTGGTTTAGTACTTAAGCAAGAAAAGGTTATCATTATTCATCCAAATACATCAACAGAATAATTCTTGGTATCTATACAGTAAGTGCCAATGACTCGGTGCATAAGTTTGTAGTATTAAAAAAGAAAAAAAAAACACTCGTTGTAACAGATAAGATTCTTAAGTGCTATGTTAACTTTGCTAATTTTATTTATCATTTCTTTTTATGTAACAAGTGATATGAAAGTTACTGTGAAGTTTTTTGCTCTGTTTAACCAATCTTTACGCAAAATACACAAACTATACTGTGAAGTAAAGTAGAAAAAGCTGTTTAAAAAAGATATTGGGCATCTACATTTTTCATACAGAAGATTCTTATGTATAAATTCTTTAATGCTGAATGTATAAAATGGTGGGTTTAACAAAAATTCCTGAGCAAATCAATACCATGGTTCCGTCAAACTACTACATAACTCAACTATTAAACTATTAATACAAATATGGTGTTTGCAAGGAAACAAATTCAACAACTTACAGAATTAAACAAATTTGAAAAGCAAACAATTTTCAATCCATGCTTTAACCTGTTAAATAATGGAAAATATCTTCATCCTGAAAATAGAATTGTCCATATTTTCTACAGTGCACTTTAAATGCAAACCCTTACTTACTGGGTGTATAATTTGTTGGACAGAGAGCACAATAATATCACTTCAGGCAACCTTTCACTCATAGACACTTCAAAACAATGTCACGTCATGGAAGTTGTGTATCAAAACTATGATACAATGCAATATTATAAATCAAACAGTCAACAACAAGATGAATTCAAGCCCAATCACATCAATATTGCTCTCTGTGTATTCTCGTGTATTGGCAGAGTTAGGGACAATCATCACTCTTGAAGGTACTAATGTTAAAAATTGAAAAATAACACCCTTCTTTTTTGTGCATGTTAAAAACACAGCAGCATGTCACGTACGTATTAAATCTGGATGGCACATATGGAATGCATGTTCTGTAGTTTCAACATTTGTACACTATTTACATCATTCTATAATTGTATAACCAAGAGAATCTCTTTTATCTGGTCAAACATAGTAAACAAATTTTTGATTTCTGCATGAATGCAAAGGCAAAGTAATAAAGTTCACAACAAAACCTCGCTTAAATATCAAAAGGAGACACATAACGTGACATAAAATACTTATTGGGGACACATTTAAAGCTTTATGCCCTTGAACAGATGTATAAAAATTCAGTTCACTGAGTTTCATTCAGGTGGAAGGTAAAACCCGACTTGGTCAGTTTGATACTTGACCAGCAATGAATTTCTAAAGTCAGGTATTACATATTATCTTTTGGCAACATGCTGGCTTTTTTCCTGTATGTTTTAAAGGAGGGTGTCATATTTTTCCATGAGTTGTTATCCCTTGTAAGGTGGCACACATGTCTGGGTCTAAGTCATGCGACTGCAAAAGATGGACAGTAGTAAAAAATTAACTCTTCTCTTATTTAAAAGCTTTGAAATTGTTGACATACTCCACTAAAAACATTCTTTAGTGACAGTAATGCTTGTACCAGTATAGCTAAAAAAAAAAAATAAATAAAAAATAATAATAATAAATAAATAAAACTTATCAAAAATTATTGTGAACATTTAAATGGTCAAAGCCAAAATTCTAAACAGTTGCTCATGAATTATTTACTTGAAGTTTTGCTTTTGTTGTGAATCTTTGCAATTGTATTAAAGACACGAAAGCTAGGACATTTAAAAAAAAACAAAAAAACCTACCTTTGAGTAATACTTCCCTGCTTCCTCTTCATTTGCTTCAACCCCATGTCCCTTGTGAAGACAGCGGGCATAGAAAAAGCATGCCATGGATATGCCTTTGGCAATATAGCCTGGAATACAGGTTGTCTCTGCTGCTATCTGGTAAATGTCATCTAGCATGGCAACCCTGGAAACATCACAGGTTCATGTTTTGTTACTATTGTGGTATTATTTTAGGATAAGAAGAGTTCAATTGATATGAAAGATTCTAATTAGATATTTGACTTGCTACTTTACATTTTATTTTGTTGTTGGGCTTTGCTTGATTTACATAGTGGCTAAAAAGAAGATAAGGGTTAAACAGTCCAGATGTAAAAGCATGATTTAAGGGCCACTCCACGGGATTTTCCCACCAAAATGAATTCTCTTGGGGTAAAGAGCAATTTTTCTCCTACTCATAAATTATTGCTTGACCTGTCCCTGCACGTAGGATTCCATCTTTTATTCCATTTTTAATTTAATATTTAAGTTTTAAATGACTGGTCAGATTAATGACATCTGCCAACATGCACAATGACTAATTTTTACACAGGAAAATGGTAGGGTGTTTTGTATCATGGCCCTGTGCTAGGTATAATTCAGACATTACGAGCTGGCAATGGGTACCGGAAAAAAGCTGAGAAGAGGATAGCATCACAAGGTATGCATCAGGTTAACTTTTATCTAAAGTGTTTTATTATCTGTAGAGCCTGAATTGGGAAATACAAGTTAATAGCTTTACATGACATGAATATGACTGTGAGGAATTATCAAACCTCTAAAAATTCATTTTCGCTGGAAAATTCCATGGAGTGGGTCTTCAAGTGCAAGAATAAAGACAATTCATTCACAAATCAATACAATTCTTACCTTGCTGCCAAATCTGCTGCCTTTGTGTACAGCTTCCTCATATAATAATATTTGACTAGATGCCCCATAGCATACACATTGCCTCTGTCAGCGGCCTCTTTGAAACACTCAAAACTTGCATTAGTATCCTTCTTGCAGCCCAGTCCGAGTTCCAACATAACCCCTAAAGCACCTTAAGGAAGAAAAAATAATAATTTCAGACTATGCCTTGTTTAAATTATACAAAAAAGAACATTTTATACTTATTTACAAAAAATATTCCAACTGTATTTTAACTGTATTTAAAAATATTAAGAAGACAGATTTAAAAGATTCAAAGATTAAAATCAATTAGTGTTGTCTATGTATGCCACACCTTGAGATTCTAGACTTCCATTTCCACATGCCTCAGAATGCCAGAAATAAGCTTTCTTTAGATCAAGTGTCTCTGGACGAGAATAAAACATTCCTAGCATACTTTGAGCAAGAATGCTGCCGTTGGGGTTGCCATCATCTGCTGCTAGTAACCACCACCTGTAAGTTTTTTTTGTACTTTAATAAATTTCAAATGTTAAATTAAAAAATATATATATCAGCAAAGCACAACATTAAGTAAATGCAAGATTGAAATAATACCCGTCTCCATTTCCTAACCCCTTAAGTAGTATGACTGATGCAGTGTAGTTTTCAAGTGACACCACCAACTTTAATGCAAAACTTCTCACCTTTCTGCTTCTTCATCAGATTGAGTAAGACCAAAACCCTGGTAGAAGGCCCGTCCTACATTGTATTGAGCAACGTGAACTAAATGCTGTGCTTGTTTGGCTGTTGAAGTTGCTACTTGCAGCATGCAACCAGATCCAATTTTCTAGTAATAACATAAACTTTTAGATAATTTAACAAGAAATACCCCAGTATGTATAGTACAATAAATACAATGAATGTCAAATATTTTTGTACTAAATCTGATAAGACTTTACTAGTAGCAAGTTGATGAAACTAACTTTCTCTTCCACTTTCTAAATATGGGAGGGGAAAAATATACTTACAGGATCCTGTTCACAGCCTAGTCCATCATAATACATTACTCCCAACTGGTATAGGGCCTGGAAGTCATATTCCTTTGCCCTCTCAAAGTAATTCACTGCTTTGTCAAACACACCCTACAGAATAAAGATGATACTTTGTTTTAAGATTTGCTTATGGGGGTATTTTGTTTGTGTTTAAGTATGAGCAAGATTCAGAAAAAATGAAAAGTTAAAGATTTAAAATTTGTTAGAAATCTAACAAATAAAAAGCAATTATACTATCAATCTTCTAAAAGAAATTATTTGTGAATCATTACCTGCTCAAAGTATAGCTGTCCCAGTTGAAATACAGCTTGCTTGTCTCCATTTTTTATCTTGTCTAGCAGCATGCTTTCCACTTTTCCCGTTAGTTCTTCTTCTGTAAGACTACTAAGGTTTTCCTTGGCCTCTCCATCAGCTGTGCTTACACTGTAAACCATACTGCCATCCCTGGAGGCTGGCAATGGCTCCCCTGGTATGCCCAGACGGAACTCCATAGCTGCTTAAAAGCAATTAAAAATAATACTAATTCTATAATACTACGTATGCTTGTCATCCAATTGTATTTTAAGTAAACTCTATTTAAATCTATTACTGGCTAACAAATATGTCTTGTTGACAGGGTCCTGTCTCCCTCCCAAAGACTTCAGTTGGTCTACTGAGAAAAAAGATGGACTAGCTATCGGTATTTTCAGCCCTGATTGTATATTATATTATATTTTATATAACGACACTACGTTAATATACCAAAAGATTCTGCATAATGTCAAAGCATGATCAAGTGATAGTGAGTGATAGTGATACATGTGCCAGTGCGCGTTATTTCAAATTAATGTTTACAAAATATTTCGTGTATTACTTTAATTTTCAATGTTTTAACCATATCTTTGCCGAGATATTAAAAATTACTTATCAATATGTCGCTACTCACTCTGTGTCGTCTCTTTAAAAACTGGATTTATCCATTTATTTCTAAAATACGCATGCTACTACATTCTTGATAGCTGCACAACTACCATGGTGACCAATGTCCTTGACCCCAGTAATGGCTCGCGCTTGGAAAATATTATCCAATGGTCGAGCAGCACTTACAACAGTCCGTAAAGTTAAAAATAAATAGGAAGTACTTCCGGAAAGTTGGCATTTTCGCAAGGACATACGGACTTGAACTTTTAATCATATGAGTGCTTAATGATGGGCATAAAAAGGTAAGCATACATATTCACATTTATTTATGTTAAATTAACACATTGTTAAATATGAGTACCGGAGGCAATGTGAAGGCTATCTTCTCGTACGCGCAGTTCACTTAGTTGGAAGTTAAAATAATTTTCATTTCACTTTGTCACGGACTGGATCAGACTACCTAAACATGTTTACTAGTTTTTTATTTGCTTTGATAATTTACTTCACCACACTATGTCTGTGCAAAGTACTGTAAACTTTTCTTGACCGAGAAACTCGCATGCAAATAGCTAAAATGTTATCATGCTTATTCATTTACTTGAAAGGAACTGAATTATTGATTAGTGCATAGTGCAGAATTATATACCTAGAGTATGTGGGTTTGTGTTTATTATAGTAAGTAACAGACTTATATTATTCTTGAAGCAGGCATGTTAATTTAAATGCAAGGAAATGCAGTGCAATGGCACGTTAATTTCACAAGTTAATATATGAAGTAAAAAGGTTGTTTGATTTAAAAGAAAATGAATAAATAATTTGTATCCTATCTGGGATTCTTCCACCCAAAGGAATTTCCTGAAAATGGAAGCAATTTTGTAACACTCAGCAATCATTGCTCAACCTGTTCCTGCAGTTGGAGTTGATGATTTGTACCATTTCAAATTAAATAATTTTGTTTGAAATGACTGGCCAGTCATTTAGATTGTGTCGTCTTCCTAAACAATTTTAATTAAGGGTTTCCTAAAAAAAAAAAAAAAAAAAAAACATTTCTAAGGGCTAAATTAGAAAATGCAAATATCTTTGCAGGGTATGTGGACATATAAAATATGACTTATCTCTTCAAATGTGGATAGTGTACTTTTAATGATATTAGTTAATTAAGAGGTAGTCATTATTCAGAGGTAGTTTGAAAATCTTTTTGAAATTTGCAAATTCAATTCATGTATATATTTATACAGACAGCCACTAAAACAAAATATTTATAGGTAAACAAAGTCACAGCTGCAATCATGAGCAAAGTGGTAGCCAAGGAGACTAAAGCTCATCCCAGCTTGCTAAGAAAGGGGTCATCTCACAAGATGGCTTTGAAGGAGAAGGCAGTTCAGATATATGAGGCTTTCTTCAAGGTGTGGATCATGTGTTTTAATGTATTCTTAGTGCTTTTTTTTTTTTTGTATTCTGAACTAAACCTATTAAAATGCATCAAAAATTTGCAATGAATTTATTATTTATTATTACGTTGAAATTTACTCATCCTTTAGAACTATAGCTGATTAAGTTTACTTAAAGCATTTAGATTAATAGTGTTTTTATTATGATTGAAACATGACATGTTATAGACAAAAGGTGTGGAATAGAAGAAATACACTTCATATTTATCTCTTTTAGGGAGAGGACCCCTCTCTGGGAAATCGCAACTTTTGGGATGAACTATTTCTTTTAAAGGTTGGTTTGTTTGACATTTTGATTTTCAGAATTCTTTATGTCACATTTATGTTGTAAACTACTAGTGTATAACTACATGATTCATAGATATGAGTGATGTACACAGATGGAATAGACCAGCAGAATGTGTGATTACATATTACTCAAATAGTACACTATTTACTGTTTTAAGTCCATCATTACATATTTAGAAAAGTGATTTTGTCATGGTATTCACATGCCTGAAATACAAAATTGATAAAAAATTAATGAAATTAATTTTTTTTTTCTATCAGGTGAATTCTCCATATATTGAAAAACAATTTGAAAGCTTATCAGGCGAGCAGTTACTGGCTTTAAAGGTGGGAAATGGTTTTGTTCATTTCTGAGATAGAATATTGATATTGATAGAAATGGTCAAAATTTATTTAGTTTGTAAGACGTAGGTTTTCTGGAGAGTTTTTGGTTTAGGATAATTTTTGAAAATGCTAAAATAAGACATTTTCCTTGTAGCGGCAATTGATGTAAATTAAAATTCTGCTGTTCTTAGTCTTTCAAAAATTAAAGTATGAAACAAAATGATATAAGATCAAGGTGGGATAACTGTATTTTGTGGGTCACTGGCAGTGATTCTTGTGTAGGTCATAACATGCCTATCTAAATAGAAGTTTGATATTTGATATCTGATATTTTTTACATTTGATGTTGATTTCTCACTATGCCGTTAGCTCTGACAACTCGTCTCATGTTATTTTGTAGGAGAACGTAAACACACTGTGTTATCAGTGTATCCAAACAATGAAACAGGACCATCCCATTAGAACAGCCCATGCCATGCAGGTAAATGGGGAATCTTATAAACTCTCTTTTCTTTGATTTTGTGTAGAATTTACAATTATGTTGTATTGCATATTTCGTAGTTTAACTTGCTTATGGAAAATATGTCATGTAATAATGAATGTATTTCCTACAATTATTTTAAAAGTAATTTTCTAGTCTGTAATTTATTTTCCACCGGTTTAAACTTTTCTCCCTTTGGGAATTATGACCAGAAATTTGTGTAATAATTTTTAAAATGAATTGTATCTTTACTGTGGTGTCTTGTTTTAGACTGTGGCTGCACTCATTAGAGGTGTATTTAAAAAGAGTTTGGGCAACTATGGCTTTGATGTCATCAATATACTACTCGGGTTTGATTCAGCTGAAGTATTGATGCAGGTTTGTTTCATTAAAGGATTTTAAGGCATACTCATTTGTCACCAAGAGAACAACATTAATAGAAAAGGAGAGCTCAGATATTACATGTCATTTTGGTTAAAAGGGGTAGTTAAGCAATGGTGTCTGAGAAGGATGATGTTGTTCTATATGTTTATTATATTATACCAGTAAATGATACTCTCTTTGTCAAACATTTCAGACTCTTGTGGAAACTCTTCACACCATTCTCACTGGGGAAAGTCCTGCCAGCCTGAAATCTGTATCTCTCAAGCTTTTACTGACTTTAGTCACTGTAAGTCTGAGTCATGGTATGCTAGACCAAATATGATCTTTTTTATCTATGATCCTTATTAAGATAATTTTTTTTATCATGCTTAAGTTTTGTTTTGAATTTTCTTTATGTAATCTTATTTTTCATATGGAATGGGTTATTTGAGAAGTTCTTTGGCTACTGTTGCTTTCAAATATTTCAATAGTGTGAACATTGATAAAATGTTTACTTGTCTATTTATTTTTTTAAGGCTACTGATAATGTGAGTCAAAATACAATGTTGGAATATGTGATGATAAACAGTGTATTCGAAGCAATTATTCAGGTATTTGGACTTTCATGCTCATTACAACTTTTTAATTTGATATTTAATCAATTTTTACTTGTGTTATATTTTGAATGTCAGTGTTTTAATATTGACTCATAACAGTAACAACTTAAATTTAAGATCAATGTAAAGGCTGCATGTATTATATGTACTTGACTACTTATATAAGCCGTGCACATTTTAAAATATTTTATGCCAGTTGTATGGATTTAATAATGAATTCTGTTTAGCTTCTAGCCAATCCATTGTCCAGACAAATCCATGGTCATGATGCAGTGTTACTTCTCACTTTACTTGTGCAATATAGAAAATATGAGGTTAGTTGATCATAGTTTCAGTTGCTATACCATATCAGATGAGTGTGCAGTGTACTCATTTATGATGATTGCTTTTATAATGCAGATTTTTCATATAAATCAAGTCTAGTGATCAGACTCAGATGTGTAATGCCTTTGCTACTTTGTAGCGCCTTCTGTCTTAATCTTCTTTACCTTAGCTAAATAACCTTAGACTTTGCTACTGATGTTGTTAAACTCAGTGACGTAGTGACCTGAAGTTTCTAATCTCTAATCTTTTAAAGATTCATACCCTCAACATACCCACTTACTCTGTGTAAAAATAGTGAATAATGGACCTGTTCACTTTAGTCCAATGTTCTACTATTTCTAATTAACCCCATTTCAGTGGAATAACACAACTAGGAGCACAATCTGCAGTCTGTCCTCCTAAGAACAAATAATCCCATTCTTATTTGCTTAATTCGTATAAATAGAATTATATATTTTATGATACAAATTTTTGTATTAATCAAGTTGACTAATCATAGTTTGAATAAAGTACAAAAATGTTTTTCTGGAATCTAAGTAGTTGAGATTAAATGGTGTTATGTTGGAAGGCATTTTTTTTATACTAGTGTACAAAAGTTAAGGTTAAACCATATACAGTAAGTTGTGTTAAGTTAAATGTTTATTTGTTCTTCTTGTAGTCTGCCAATCCATACATAGTGAAGCTGTCAATATTAGATGATGAGCTGGCTTTGAATGTAAGTATATGCTTGTCAGTGTGAGGTGTGTGTGTTACTTAAAAGCACTCCGGTAAACATTTCTTTGGGATGTAATGGTTAAAAATCCTAAAAAAGAACCGTATCAATCATAAAATAGAATGTGTGAATTTCCATGCCCTTTATTTTGACTTCTGTGATTTTAACACATGCCTATTTATCCTTTTTTTTCTTATATTTTATTTCGTTTTTAGGGATATGCTCAAGTTGTATCTTCTAGTCTAACAGAGTTTAACAGGTAGGTCATTTAAGGAGGCAGTACATATAATTTTAATAATAATAATAATAATAATGATAATAATAGTTATATTTGTAAAATCTTTATAATTAAGTGTTCATATATGATGATGGCAAGAAAATGTTATTTGAATTTGTAAATTTGGACTGAATGAAAAATTTTGTAGATTTCTTATAGATTAAAATAACTGACTTTCTTTTAAGTCAACCTAAATGAATAATAATTTCAATTGCAGGTGTTATCAAAGCAGAAAAACAGAACACCAAAGTAGTGGTGGCTTTTTCTCAGCCTTCACAAATATGGTAAGGTCAACAGTTTAGTTTCCCCTTTGTTCATTCAGAAATGTTAGATATTAAGTCATTGTTTTATGAAGTAAGGTAATTCTACATGGTGTGCAGAGGTTCCAAAAAATTTTATGACTCGATATTATTGCAAGTTGCAATCTGAGAAAGTGGTGAGGCATAGGTAAAAATGTGTCCAGTCTTAGAAATGTTTCACTTTTTTTATCATAAATAGACAATGATCAGACAATGAAAAAACTATTGCACCAAAACATGAGAACTTAACAGATGAAACATGCACAAGTAGAACACAATGTCAGTTGGTATTAATCGTGTAAATCACCTAGTAATAAGGTAGCTTAGGAGACAATATGTGAGTATATCACATGGAGCATGACGGAAGGATCCTTCATAATGGGATCAGAAGGCTAATGTACTCATGCGTAACAAGTGAAGGGGAGCACATCTCATGTAATAACATGATTAACCCGTTCATCACATCCCATATGACCTTTGTGAAGGATCGTCTTCAAAGGGAAATACCTTAAAATATAGAAGATTGGTTTCTTGCGTGTAGTGTGATTTCATTTTATTGAATCCTTTCAACATTTGACAAGCCATGAATATTCATAGGATGAACCAAGTTCTCTAAGATGCCTCATGTGATAAACTAGTAGTCATTAGGTGTTTTTGATATTTAATTTTTATCAATTAAATAGATATTTATCAAACTTATTAATATTGATGTTAAGTAATTAAATTCCATTGTTTTTTTTATGCATGAAAGCTTACCTCATTGTAAACATTTCGGTGGATTACAACAGAGATGTAGCAGGTTGTTTGAAAAGTCTTAACTACTAAATAAAGATATTTCGTGATATGTGTTAAAACTCAAATGTTTTATTTACTCTTTTATTAACAGGTTGGGAGCATGTTTGTTGCAGAAGAAGCTACAACAGAGGCTATTAAGTATGGTTCTTTGCTATTCTTTTTAAAATTTTAAAATGTTTCTTGCAGGAAAAAACTGTTCATATTGTTAGAATCTCATGTTGAATAGAGAGAAACATGGTACGAATAATTGATTCAATATAGATAACAGGAGTTGCAGTCAGCAGAACACGTGGACTTTTAAAGTATTCTATAAGTTGAAAATTTGTCTTTCAGGGCCAACGACTCCATGTTGCTGGCACTGTATGAAGCTGTCCATTTGAACAGGAATTTTATCACCACTTTGACTCATGTGAGTACTAGTACATTACAATCCAAAGATATTAACAAGCTGTTTTCCAAAGACCTGTTCTTGGGATAAGGCTTTTTCAAAATAGTATTTTAACTGAAAAGGCATACTTGTACATTTTGAACAGATTTCATTTTAAATGACCTATCTTTCAATAAAAAAGATTAATATAATAAAGTTAAAATCCTGGGCAAGGAGCAAGAGGAGTTTTAATCTAATGATGAATGCTCTGGAGGGGTTGAGTTTATTCAAGTTAGCTAGTGGCATTCTTTACATCCTATCTTATCAGATATGTGTCATATCCATCATGCTTTAGGTTCATACAGCGTCAGCACCCACCACTCCTCCACAGTCTCCAGCTACTCCACAGTCACCCGTGCTGGAAGGTAGGTTTTTATCAAATAATATTGAGACAGGTATTGTTGCAAGGAAGGGCTCTGTTTGGTAGCCTTAAGCTTGTCAGTTGCAGTATTAGCCTTGTTGCATGTTTTGTGAAATATTCTGTTCATGTTAAACCCTCCTACGTCAGGATTGCTAGACTCAAGTTTTTAGTTAACAGTGCCATTTGTTCAAACGAGTCAACTGAGAGTGCTCTCTATCTTGAAGCATTTTAATCAAGGTATTGCATTTGAGTCATTTGAAAGATCTTATAATAGTTTTATATGTGTATTTATATTATATATTATCTTTCACCTCTATGAGGCATCTTATGTACAAAAGGAAGTTGTTCTGGAAATCAGATTCACATTTATTTTTATTTCAGGCACTGATGCTGCACTATCAGGCAATGTGGACTTGTCTGCCCATGATCAGCCTACCAGTCTTCTTGTCACTTTCCTCGAGTACACTTCTATTATCATGCAAAACACGAAAGATGAAACTAGATTTGATAATGCCAAGTTGTGCCTGGTCATATTGACATGTATAGCAGAGGTGGGTTTTTTGAAGAACTTGAGTACCATGGTAACATGGTCACATGGGCACATCTTACCCAATCAGGAGCGATGTAACAGCACTGTCATGGAAATCCTAGTCAACTAAGCCAGGGAACTGACTAAAGTTTTTTAGTGAAACTGGGGCCTGATGTTAAGCTGTGTTGGTAGTGATTTTGTCTTAAAGGTAAAAGTCATTGGTGGTTAACAGAATACTGGTATAAGCTTGCAATGAAAAATTAAAGCTTCTGCAGAGTTTTAAGATTAAGAATGATGGATATTTATAATGTTCATCACTGCTTACTCAATTGAGATGATAATTTGAGAAATCTTCTGTTCCCAGGACCAGTATGCAAACTCCTTGATGCATGATGCCAATATGAATTTTAGAGTTCCCATTCATAAAGCAGTAAGTACTCGATACTTTTATCATTTATTTAGAGTATGTTACTTTTTAGTAATTCCTTTTGAGATGATGAAGGTCATGACTTTTGCAATAAAAAAACTAACCTTGAATGAGTGTGCCTAAGATTGGGATTTAGCATTTTGCAAATTCTGCTTGTAGCCTATGAGACACAGGAAGACTCCAACGGAGAAGATTCCTCCTTCTAGGCCTTTGGCAGGTGCTCTGTTAGGTAGGATTGTTTTGGTTAACTAAACATTTTTAAATGTGAAGATAACGATGGAGACTTATGGACTTTAAAATGGCTTGTGCCAAAACATTATTGACTTATTACGGGTTTGATGCCATATTTGAGAATTTAAGATATTTTGTAAAGTTTCATTTGGAAATGTTTGATGTGGAAATAAATGACAGAAACAAGGAAGCATGCATTTAGTGTACATAAATCTGTCTGCATATTTGTCTTTTCAGTAAGTTTTGATATGTTTTCCAAGAGGTTAGCTTCACAACAAACCTTCATGTTTTTAGGAGCCTCAAGGATAAGTACAACTCCTTCATGTGCTGTGAATATGATCAAAACTGCATTGTTTTAACTTGGCATTGAATATAATTTTGACACATTCCAGATCTAATGGTGGAGTTTACCATGAGTCACATGATGAAAAGTATGCCAGTAGAACTTCACATGTAAGAAATAAATTAAAGGAAAATGTAGATGTCAAACAGTTGCAAACCCAAGTTGGCTTTCAATTAATATAGAAAATATTGCCTTGATTAGTCCATACATTGGTCTGTATTTAAAATCAGTTAACTTATGTTCATGTACAAAGAAAGGTTAATTAATCTTCAATACTGTAAATTCAGACTGTGTTATCTTTTACTTTAAGCTTTAAACAGAAATGAACTTTTTCCGCATATTTAATTCAGTTCTGATGGTTCCTGAGACACGTCAAGGTTAGGTGCTGGGTCCCATGATAAATGTTCAGAGTTTTTTTTTTTTAAACCTAGGCTCATGTCTGTTGAAAGCTTTTTTTTTTATTTGCTGTAGGTTGAGTCTGGGCACTATCCACCGGGTGTTGTGTTATCAGAAAAAATGCCGAGTCAGGATGCAGTATCAGTGGAAAGACCTGTGGACAGGTAAACTCACATTAGGACACCATTTTTTTAAACATTATATGTATATTTTTACTCTTAGCTATATCCCACACTGGATTGTTTCAAGATAAAAAGATAAAAACATATAAAGACTTAGTTAAAATTTTTTTTAGGATTTGAAATGTTTTGATTTTTGGGTGGAAAAGAAAATTAATTGAATCTTGTGATGATGAAGCATAATCAGTTTTTTTTTTTCTTTTTCCTTTAGCTTTAATCAATCTGCTCAAGTTTCTGCTGTCCAATGAGACCACTTTAATGAAGAAATATAATATTTTCCCTCTTGCCACTCAGGTAGGAATTGTGTGTGTGCTAGTGTGTGTGTGTGCTAGTGTGTGTGTGTGTGTGTGTGCTAGTGTGTGTGTGTGTGTGTGTGTGTGCTAGTGTGTGTGTGTGTGTGTGCTAGTGTGTGTGTGTGTGTGTGTGTGTGTATGTGTGTGTGTGTGCTAGTGTGTGTGTGTGTGTGTGTGTGTGTGATTTATGAAAAATGAGAATTTTTTGAAACACTAGTGAAAATTGTCCTGATTAGTTGTCATCTAGATTACTATTTTTTCCTGAGATTGGAATTGAAATGACTTATTGTGTAACTTTTGGATGTTGCTTTGTTCCAGATCCTGACCTAGTTATAGATATCTGATTCTGGTTTACAAAGACAGTGGTTACCTTAGTCAAAATCCATCTTGTAGATATAGTTGTAGATACCTAATTCCGATTTTAAAAAACATTGGTTACCTAAGTCAAAATCTATCTTGGCAAAGGCTGTTTCCATTTCACGAAGAGCCTAAAAGAGTGCCTTCCTCTTTCTTTGTATGGTTTTTTGAAATAACGATGATCTGGGTCTTGTTTTTTTGCAGGCAAAATGTTTTTGAAATGCTCTCAGTCCAATATCACAAAGTCAGCCTTAAGTTATGTAGTCGACTAAGATTTACAATGAAAGCTAAGCACAAAAACGTCAGATAGTCCTCTGATAATTGAACATAACACCATGTAGTAGTCAGTCATCTCAACAGTCTGAAGAACATAAGTGACTGTGATGATTGGAAGAAAAAAGTTAAAGCTTGTACTGCTGGTGTTTAGGGAACTTTTGCTTGTAATATATTTTTAACATGCCCATCAGATTGTGTTCTTCAGTTCTATTTGTAGCAGCTAATTTCTCAAATAATTTCATCATGGTTTTCGGTTTTTATGGAACATATTGTGGATTATTAATAACTTTTTTCTCTTTTTTATCAATACTACAATATCTTGTAACCTTGCTGTCATTTTATGTGAATTGGCAGATTTTCACTTTGTTCACCTTATACATTCATTATGATCCACTGGTAATCTGTCCTTTTGTGAAATGGCACGTTCATTGTAAGATTTCTTTTATTTGACGAAGCATTGCCTCTTACATAAACCTGATTAATGCTGCTTGCAATTTTCATCAACCAGTGCTTCATATCCCTGGACAAAAACCTACAGAATGCAGGCCAATCTGATTAATGAACTTTTAGTAAATGTCAACCCTGGTCTTTTGCTAGTGACGGCAACTGTGCATGGATGCCAGTACTTTCTGCAAATTCTCCGAAGGAAAGTACAGTCTCTGGATACTTATTTTTAGTTAATGAAAATATTCATTTTCTTTGGTGATTGCAACCAGTGTAGAAAAGATTTTCTTGCAGACAAATTGATTTAGAATGGTTGGCCCTGTTTCTTATTGATTGATTATAGTCAGTAAAGTGTCGTTACTGTTGTCAAAGACTGCTCTTTCTGTTTCCCCTTGCAAAAATTAAAAATAAAAAAGCATGAAGATGCAGTTAGGTACATTTCAAGTGCATAATCCACATAATGTCTTTTCCCCTCTGCTTTGAAGTCCAGTAGATATGTGAACTGGTTGGAGCCTCTCTATACACATGATGGTACAAAAATGGTATATTAAAACATGATTGCTATATATTGTAGATGATAATGAGGAAAGCTTTGAAAGCAAATAAAAGCACTCATGACTGTCCTTTTTATTAAACGAGTTCATTAATCTGTCATTGATATCTTGGTGTCCTCTCTTTTGTTTCATCATTTGATTGGTGAGTGGCTGTCAGATCGCAGATGAAGAATTACTCCTCTTAGACATATATTCTGAGATAAAATGCCAGGGAAAAAAAGCATGAGATGTCATCTTTTAAATTGGACAATTTAAACTCACTTACATCAGAACTTGGGATGATAGAGAAATATTGATTTCACAACATTCCTGGTTACAGGTTTTACATTTTTCATTAATTTCCAAACTAAAAAGTTTTGAATTATTTTTATTATTTGGTGCTTTCTAGCTGCATTTGCAATCATTAAAAAATTATGATAAAAGCCCACTTTGTTCTGTGATTTTTGAGCATTCCTTTGTCTGTATGTTTTATATTATTTAGTATCCATGAGTTCCCAAGTGTGTAAACTGGGATGGGATATTATCCTTTGGAGAATACATCATTTTTGTTAATGGCAGGGTTGATGAAGAGGGACAGAGTGCCACTGATCCAATTATTCTCTAGGGAGATTCTTCAGGATTGCACATTGTGACTTGAAGTGTACTATGACAAAATTGGATGCTGTCAGTCACGTAGATGGTGACTTGCAGTGCACTTGTAGACATTTTTGGGTCTTTTGTCTTTTTCACAATGAAATGACTATGACCGTATAAAAGTTAGATGAATTTGTTCATAGGTAAATGCAAAGGCTTGTCACTAGGAGCATATTTGATTAAAATATATTTCTAGAATTGAGAAGGTGGTAATGCTGATTACCTAACTTCTTCATTAATATAGTTGTATCCAAAAATCTAATTAAAAATAGTGAACATTTTCAAACTGCTCTACATTTTCAATTTTGGGGACAAACTTTTTAATCAAGTCTATTTACAAAGGATCTGCATTCCACTTCAGTTCTCATAATAAGAAGTATTGATTGTGGAGTTTTGATCAATGAAGCTGTGCATGCATTATGCAGGATGGCAGAGACATGCCCACCTAGTGATTACACATACTTATCCTTCAGTATTAGAATATAGATACATATGGAGGGCATAATTCAAGCAGCTTTTTGTGCTTTATGTGCCAGTGGCTCTGTGTTAAGTCAGCTTTTTTGAGGTTGAATTATTTTTAAGTGATAAGTGAATTGGAAGGTTGTGTCATAACTGTTGATGTTTCCTATGAGGGTAATGGACCGTATTGTTCTGGTAATACTTAGCTCCTGATATTTTTCTAATTTTTTTTTTGTTTATTTCCCTTGATATATATGTCATATTCCAGGTCCATTTTATACATAATTATGGAATTATATGTTTTCAACCATGAATCTTTCAATTTCATTTTAAGTATTGTAATTATGAGGAAATGACACATAATTCATAGTTTAGCAGTGTAAAATAGACTGAAACATTGGAAAGACTCCATACGTTTAGTTTAGCTACTTTAATGGTGCCACCCACACCATTCAGCATGCTGAGAAAGGGACATGATTCGAATTAAAAAAGAAAAGAAAAAAAATGTGAGGCAAAATTGATAAATGGAGAAGTTAATGATTGAAAATTAAAAAAATGATTCAAGGATATCATTATTTCATTATATCTGACTCCCACTCCATACATTACCAACCCATCTTTGAAACACCTCTGTGTCACTAAAATAAAAGTGAAGGAGCAGGGTTTGTTTCTGTGCCTGTAAGACATGTTATCATGCAGATGCATTTCCAGAAGGGACTGATAGTTTTGAGGGCATCCTAAAGATTTTGACAGGATGATTAAAATTTGATTAAGAGAAAGTGGTGTCATGCTTATTTCTCCAAATTACCCCTACAATAATTTTTCTATAACAGGATGTAAATGATGTACTTCTCTTATGTGTATTTTAATTTTTTTTTTATAAAAGATTCCGTATGATATATGTTTTTTTCATAAAAAATTGTTATTGCACAAAAGCCTGGCAAACAAATCACTCATTTTTATTGAGAAGCGCTGGATTTTTTATAGTTAAGCTTAAAAAGCAAAAAAAAAAACTTGATTGTGCCTTTATGATAATCCCGATAGCTTAAAGCACAATTTATTGATCAGTACCAGTCTGATTAATTCTGTTAAGTCACCAGCCATTGATTTTGTGTTGCTAAAGCTTAAGTTGAACACCCAGCAGTTGTGATTAGTGTAATTGATTGTACTCCACATTATAGCCTTTTGGTGTTTAGAGGTAATTTACTTCTGTGATGGAAGTTGGGGGAGATGTACTTGGTATTGAAGCACATAGAAGAGCTAGAGACATGCATGGGATATGTACTTAATGGCAGAACTTCCCTCACTTATGCGCTCTGCATACTTGTTTTATTCAGTATTAACCTATTCGGTATCCCATATGATTATAATTTTTAACAAAATGAGCCAAGAGCATTGATTTCTTGTTAGTATGTCTCTTAACTGTGACTATATTTTCCCAGTTGGAATAAGCTCAGTAGCATTTTGAACTTCTTTAATCATGAAGATATTTACAGAAAAACCCGAGCTGCTAATGATGCTCACGTGGGACTTCATCATTTGATCAAAGGTGTTATGGTTTTATAATGATAATATAAAAATAAACAGCATGAAATGTGTTTATCTTGATACATGTGGTAGGTGATATACACCTGTCAGTAGTTTTTTTAAGTGTGTAACTGTTTTTTTTGTCACTCTGCAAAAGCTAGGTTTAACTTAATAGTTCCTTACTTTCCTAAATCTTTTGATCTGTAATTTATTTGGTCATAGGTTGATTTAAAAAAAAAAGCCATTATCGCAATGGTAAATTGATATTAGCACACAAAGAAGACATCAAAGCAACATTAATAAATAATAAGACTATTGGAACTTTTACTGTGTTCTAGAGTTATATTTTGTTATATAGGGTGCATCTTATTTCAGACTGAATGGAGGTCATGAAAGGTTGCACCTCCTTTATATTACAAATAAGTTTTAACATTTCTTTAAAGCCTGTTGGACATAGTTTAACAAATATAAGTTAGTTTTGAAGGCTTTTCGATAAGGAAGTAAAGAGTAATCCTGTGAAGTCCCCTTTGTATATGTTTTGATGATTGCGACTCAGTTTGTGATCAAGATTGATTTCATCGTTTTGTTTCTGCAAGTTTATATTTGTAGGAAAAGTATTGTGTTTATTTTTTGAAATTATTATTTTATTATTTTTTTCAGGTGATAAATATCTTCAATTTGTTCATTACATATGGAGACACTTTTCTTCCCAACCCCACCAGCTATGATGAGCTTTACTATGAACTGATCAGAATGCATCAGGTGTTTGATAATCTCTATTCTATGGGTAAGTCTTTTTGATTTCTTAATTCGGAATTTGCAGACCATTTCAAAATTCAGTTTCAGAACAGTTCATGGTGAAGTGCGCATATATAATAACCTGCTTTTTTGTGATGATTGAAATTGTAAAAACAATTGAACAAATTATAACTCAGTGATTATCATGCAAATATTGAAATATCATTTAAGGGTTTTCTGAAGACATAAGAATTATGAAATATCTAGTTATTACAAAACCCATGAATGTCTGTGGTTTTTCTAGCACTCCGTTACACAACTAATGGAGGAGATTGCAAAGATTCCGCAGCCAGGCTCACCAATAACCTGGTCAATGTCAGGTGAGAGATCAGATTCTGTAACATCTGGCAGACTAAACAAAATGTTTGTGTAACTGCATATATTTGTGAAGACAGAAGAATTTAGTTGCAGACCTTGTATGCTCAGAAACACCCCCCCCCCCCTCCGGTAAAAATGGGAAGAGATTTTTATGTCCATTTAACTATAATTTTTTGAATGTTTAAGATAGAATTGTGAAACAACTAATGGGTTGTCCAATTTAAAAATGTTTGGAAATGGAGGCCTATCTTGAAGCAAGACTGATCGAAGATGTTTAAAGTCTACCTGTAAACTGTGTCCATCAGTCAATTTCAGCTCTGAGAGAGGCATAGTTGAAGACTTAGAATGCATTCTTTTAAAAAAATTGTTGTTGTCAGTAAGTATTGTTTGTTGAAAGTGCATTTTCCAGTCTGTTGCAGAACCTTTTTTTTCTTGAACTGCCAATTTGTAGTATATTGCACAGACTTCATGACTGATGCAATTGCTGTTCAAATGAACAGAAGCTTACAGCTACTGTATACACTGCTATACATAGTTATTTGGACTCTTTTAAATTGGAATTGCTTGTCTTAGGCAGGGGGTATAAAGTAAGCTTAATTTGAAATGATTGGGAAGAATGTTATCTGAAATTTCTTTCTAAACAACCTTTTTAGAGCGATCATCAACCACTTTAACCCTAAGCTGGATTCTTGGGCTGCTGTCAATCACTTATCTTCCTTAACGGAAGAACAGGTAAGATTTGTTATTTAACCTGTTCAAGGTAGATGCATAACTAAGCAAATAGAATGCTGATATTAATTTTTCTTGGTGTGAAGCTGTATTTATTACAGAAACATGATTAATTAAATAGAATGCTGAACTGATATTATTTTTGTGTATAGGTAGGATATTGGAAATTGCCTTGGAAATTTTGTTTAGTAAGGTACAAATATAAGTGGAAAACCACTGCTGAGTTTTGCACTTTCTACATTACACCTGACATTTGTTTTATGTTGTTAAGCTATACTAAATCTCAGAGTACTACTTGTATTGCTCAACTGCTCCACATCCTCCTCATGCTGGTGGAGACTATATTTGAACTTGTATTGTGACAGTGATTTACAGAATATTCATTGCAAGTTGTTCAATTGTTGTTTAGAAGTTTATATCTATAAAGTATAAAACTTTCTATATAGCATTTAATTCTTTGATGGTATTCCATTCTCTTTGCTGACAAATTAAACCAATGATAATGTATTAATTTAATAATTAATATTATTTATTAATTATTCAAGTCAAAATTAATATTATTTATTAATTATTCAATTAATAATTATTATTAAGTTTTGTGAAAGGTAGGGTTGATTTGGGAGGGAATCGGCATGAATATATTTTTGTAGAATAAAATGAGATTAAAGCAATCATTATTTTCATGTTCTGAGCACATCATGTTATAGTTTAGGTAGAAATATTAATATTAAAAAATATGGAATGTTATGAAATACTGGCAGATGGATTGCCGGTAAAGTAGTAAAGTAATAGAAGTAATTATCCATCTATTAGATATGTATTTATATTTATTTTCACACTTCATCCACTTGAAATACAGATGATTGAGTGATGATCCATAAATTCATATCCATGAATTTGTTGCTTTATGAGATTTAGAGTGATTTCCTAACTCAATACTTTTTAAGCAATTAGACTAAATCAAGGGAATGAAGATAAAGAATGGAACTTATGATGTTTAAACAGTGAATGCTTTGATGGTAGTAGTAGAAAGTGTTTTTATTAAATATTTAATGAACTTTATTAAGATTACTTGCCAAAGTTAATCAGAAGCCTTTGGGGGAAAAAAATTCATCATAATGTACAACATTTTACCATGATGGTGCTTTCATTCCTACTTGAAGGTTCTGGAAGTTGTGAGGAGCAATTATGACACTTTGACCCTGAAACTGCAGGATAATCTAGACCAGTATGAGAGATATTCTGAAAAACCAAAGGAGTCTGCTTTTTTCACACAGCTGGTGAGTTTGTTTTGGTTGTTTCATTTTGTAGAAATAATAAGCTGATGATCTCTGATAGCTCTTGGAAAAAGCTGAGATATATACACTTTCAACAATCAACAAAACAAACTTTTATAGACAAGTCGGTGACTTGAAGTGTGATCAATATTTTAAGTGCACAAAAGTCATTATGGTGAACTCTGCATCAAGTGGATTTCTTGAACATATGATTTTTCATGTATTTATTTATCATGAGGATAAGTTGTTGACCTTATGATATAACAAAAGCAACATTTTATGAACAGATGGAGAATTATTTTCATTCTTATATCCCGTAAGTCCCAGTGAGAAGAATGTTTTTTTTTCATCCTTTCATTCAGATTTGATAAATTGACCATTACTGCTATGGAAGGCACATTAAGAGAAAAGTTGTCTTCCTTATTGATCGCGAGTTATATCAGTAACGATAACATCCCCAATGAATCTCGTGTTTATTCTCTATCTTATAGGTCTATCCAGACAGGGCCTAGATTTATAATGTGCCAACATATAGCATATGTTGTGAAAATGGTCACTGTATAAACATTAAACAAAATATTTGTGCAACCATTGTGCTATGGAGGAGTAGTTTGAAGGCATTGTATTACTATCGTCCCTAAGGTGGAAAGTCTACCCCAAGCAATGAAGTCATTACAGCAAGAATAATATTGAATATTAAATTACATATTTCACGCCTTCGTCTGGCAATTGATATTTCCCAGACAAAATTGGCTGACAAAGGATGAATTGACTGCAATAAATCTTTTGAAATGTATGGAGATTTCTGGTTAGATCAGCCATTGCCTACAACGACCCTGCAAGTAATTTTCAGAAAAATATCCTAGATTGAAGCCGACTGACTCCTAACTCGCACAGATTTCTATCATGTCTGAAACTATACTTTTAGGTTTTTCAGTCTTATCTGTTGATGTTTTTATTAAGAAGATGCTTTAATGCATACACAGTATGTAAATTTAAATGATTGGATTTGAAAATAATGCTAAATTCAGTCTTGTTAGAACAATGGGCATCATCCAAGATGGCCTTAAGTCCTGGGGATTAGAGTAAAATCAAGGGAGGTTTCACAGGATTTGGAGAAGGATGTCGAAAAAAAAAAAGGCAGGCTAATGAAAGTCAAACAAAAGTAGATTTCCAGATTCTAAAGAAATTAATAAAAGCTGACCAAAATTATCCATGAATATTTTTGTGAAAGTTTATATCCTGCTGAATTGCAGTCTGTTGCACAACGTTGAATTCACCATATTTTGCAATGTACTTTCGTATTGGTTTTAAAGATGAAATTCCAGGCAGATAGAGTTTCACCCTTTTACACTTCATGTAGATTATTGCATTTTTCCTAGTTTCGGCTGACATCATGCACTGCCATCGGCCTCTTTTTAAGGCTTCCCTGGATGATACTAAGAAAATGAGAAAATGAAAAGCTCTGACTTTAAGCTTTCCTTTCATCAAAAAATGGTTAAATGCCTTGTAACATATTTCAGGTGCGCTCCATTATTTGTGATGTGAGAAGGGATGTAGCAGCAACCAGCCAACAGCAGCAGAACAGTATTATGCAGGAGTTTTCCACAATAAGATAATGAAAATTAACACCTACTAAGATGGACTTCTTGCATTGCTGTCACAAAATCAAAATTGTACAGTAATGCTTTTGTAAAATCAACCAGCTCTGAATCACTTATTTTGCCACTATCGCATACTGTTCTATTGGAGGGAACATTGAAATCAATGGACACATTATTAGCAATGTGATGAACATGGAGAAATTTGAGAAACCTGCTGTATAACATATCATTCAGGGCTGCTCAAGACCCCTCCCCCTGTTAGATGTCACACTGTTGGCAGTGTTTACGCTGATTGTGATTGTGCATCATTTTAAATCATGCATGCGTTAAGAAAACATTGTGGGTCAAGTGTGTTATAACATCACCATAATACTATTCTACCTTATTGGCTTTGACATAAAATTTGCATGCAGCTCATTGATTCTAGATATAGGCAAAGCAGTGATTGTTAATTATTTTTTTGTTCAGTGTAGGATTTCAGATTAGGAATGCCTCATTACTGAATACATGTAATAACTGTATGTGTTGTACTGAGACCAGGTGCCTCTATTTATTTTGTCAAAGTCTTCTTTAACTAGGTCTAGCATTGTAAACAGATGTACCCCAGTGTTTTTTATTTTACTTTTTAAAAAGAATATGTGTCAGTTCCTGCAATTCATATGAAGGTTCTTTTGGAGTACTGTAAATAAAGCTGTTTATGAGGAAACTTTATGGTTTGGTTATCACCACAAAATTAAATTTATTTGGTAAAAGTTTTGGCAATGAGGCAGCAAAATAATGATAACAAACAATTCATTTCTACAGAAAACATGGTGCTCTCTGATAGAGGATCTGCAATTGCCATTTCATGATTGAATTTAAATGAATTTGATAATTTAAAGTTAAAAAGCAGTAATAAAAAATTAAACTAAAAAGAATTTTTTAATAAATTGAATAAAGATAATGCAAAATTTTAGATATTTAGAATGTTAAGCTTGTGTGCATTAGTTCAACAGGAATTTTGAAATGCAGCTGAGAGAATGTACCAAAGAATATACTGTAAAACTGAAGAATTCTATAAGGAGACATTTTTGACAAATGAGAAATACAGAAATATTGTTCAAGAAATCGATTATAATGCAAATAAACAAATAAATAGAAAATAAAATTTATTCATATCTTTTGGAATAATAGCATACTTCTGTATATATTGCTTACCATAATCTACTCTCCATGTGGAACCTAGTTAATTAAGTTTTAACAGGGACTGCATCCTCCAGGGCAGCATGTGGGCCAGATCAATGAAAAAATGTATTTTTAGTCTTCCAGTTATTACATTTGAACAACTTTAACGGAGTCGGTGCCCTCTTGTTGAGCCATAAAACGAGACAACAAGTGCAACTGGTTGCTTTTTGTATCAACGGGAAAGTGGACTGATGGCATGAATGGCAAACACAATGTTTTTTGAAACTCTAAGTGCAACCAGACATGAAATGCAGCTGCACATTGTTAAACTTTGTGATCCGAGGCAGAAACCAACGTTTATTTCAAACTCTCTTACATTATATTTGTATGTTTGCAAGTAAGATAAAGGTCCACATACACACACCTGGACTTTATTTAGAAAGAAGTAAAGAATGCAGTTATTATTTTTGTAAACATACAGCATTATACTGCACTCTTCTGAGTGTGGTTGGTCAGTGTACAGTCTTAGCTTTGGTCACTCTTATTTCATGAAAAAAGTGAAAGTGAAAAAACGCAAAAGAAGCATGGTTTAGAGTATGGTTAATAACACTTCTATTTCAAGCTGAAATCACATTTGTACAGCTGTAAGGTTCTAACATTTAAATGTGTATAGTTACATGCTTAGATTAAACACCCCGAGAGTTAAAAAAAATCGCAAAAATAAAGAGTTGAAAACCCAATATTATTTTTCCACAATAGTATTTTCTGAAACATTTGAAAAAAAAAAAAAAATACTAACCTTTACCGACTCTTCAAATATACATATTTTAATATAATAGTAAATTATACAATCGTTAATATGTACACATGCACTTTTACAGAGTAGCTTCAACAAGTTAATAATCAATTGACGCTATTGATCTTGTTAACTCCTTATCTCGCATGTCTGCATTTTGCGAAAGTGCATCTCTGGTCTATCTTGTCGCGTTAATTACACGTCTGCGAAGGGCGACGCACACAGCATTTTTATATGGACCAGTCTTCTATTGGTTAGGTATCCAAGCGTCAATATTTTTGAAGAGACTGTTGACTGGCAAACACTGCCGATTGTTAGCTGCTACAGTTTATACGTAGTGATCGACTGAACGGTGTGGCCCCGTTTTCGGCTGAAGTGAAAACACAAAAAGTGATCTTCAAAAGCTGGTGCGCTTTTGCTATTCAAGCAGGTGCCCGCCTCTTATTGTAAACATAAACAACGAAAAACTACGCACTGTAAGGTTGCAGAAACGTTCGTAATAGAACGCGCCACTGATTGTCCCGCATGCTAAAGTTTCTGTTTACACTTCAAGTTTGGTTAGTGAGGCACAATGACCTGTACCCTGACCCCCTTCGTCACTTCCTTCAAACCAACAGAGCATGCGCATTGTGAGGAGAGGTGCCAGTGAACATGTTGAAAGGTGTTTCCAAAAAAGTGAGTACCTGTAATAATTTTTCGATTTTTGCACTTTTAAGGGTGGTTCCGTTCAATTGCAAATTATTTTTAACGTTTTAGTGGGACAGCTGTTAGCCAGTATTAAGCGTCGACGGTTAGCCAAAACGGTTCGTCTGCTAGCAAGTTCCCCTCAGTCAGGTGGTAAGTTGATAAATGCCCAGGTGCAATAACTAACGTTTTTGCGTGTTTGTATTTTTCTCGAAGTGCCGCGGATGCGTTTATGCTACATTTTCATGCAAAAGCTAAAGTATGGCGAGTTGAAGGCTGTGTATGACGTTTGGTCTTTCTCTTCCCACCTCGCAATACCACCTCGCGCTGCCACTGGAGATCCAATCTAATCCTCCTGAGGACCACAGACGTCCGAAATTAACCCAGTGCTGCTCAGTACGTTTGTGTTGATTTCCTTTTTTATTATATATTTTATGGTACTGACTATTATTTTTTAGGATGAAAAAGTAGAAATATATGGATATGAAAATTCTTGAAGCAAAATTTGGCCCAGGTTTGATTAGTAAATTCACAAAAGCACTGACTGCCTTGCAGTCCTTTCATCCACCCAACAACAACATACTTGAAATCCCAGAAAATGTTCCATTGAACCCGAAGCTACTATCCCAGGTATTTTTATATTTCAAGAAAGGTGTTAGGTAGTGCCAGATTTAAAGATTGTCCTAACAGATACTTGATCAATATCGGAGCAAAAGTTCACACTCAGTCATGCAAACCCCCCCTGGCACAGCAGTGATATCAGACCTATTAGTACAGCCTCTCTGGCCTTTTCTGGAACCTTCTGTCCTGTGGTGATTAACAAGTGTGCTTTTAGTACTGCCCAGTTAATGGAAGAAAACTGAATCCCTAGCAAATTTAAAGGCAAACCTTTAAATCTTAATTTTTTTATGTTTGTAATACTTCTATTATATATTTATTTATTTATTGGGGGGGGGGGGGGTGATAAAGTGATTGTTCATATATTGTTGGACTTCCATGTCATAGCATTCTGATAGGATATAGGACAATTTTTATTTGAAGGATACAGAAAAATTAGTTTGCAGTCGTTTTTGAACTTGGGGGAAACAAGGCATGTGGTGGTCATTTTTTAATTGCAGAGTGGCTGTGTTTAAAATGTTAAAGAGGAGGGATTCTCTTTTTAGGAAATGTTTAATGATATCCTAGAAGTTTGTTGATAGAAACAGCATATATAGAATCATTACTGAGAAAGACAAGACCATTAGATTTTGTTATCATGTATTTGTTCTTGAATTATGAAGAAATTGGCAGCTCTCTCTTATACCATAGTCATGTACTGCTGGTAATTGCATTTTGCTAAAGAATATTGAACACATTGTATCTGGTGAGCTCCACGTGCATGGGCATCTGTGCTAGTCATAATAGTCAGCCTTTGGTTATATTTCTATTTAATTTATTTTACCATTGTATATATACATTTTCAAGACTATATCAGTTTCATGTATAATATTGTCAATTTGAAAAATATTATGATCACCAGGTATGCAATTTGCCTATATCATAATCAGGAGTTAGGCTCACTTCAAGTTTTTCCAAAAATATTTTTTAAAAATCCAAAGACATAACATGCCCTAAATGGCTGTAAAATATCATGTGGGCCATAGGGGACAATTCTCTTATTAAGAACCCATTTATAACTAACCCAACCTTTCAGAAAAGAAACTGGAAAAATGACTCTTTAACTGTATTTCAATTATCCTCTACAATGTTAAGCTGATACATCACATTCTGTTCCATATAGAGCTTGTGTGGTAAATACGTCTTATGTCTTTGCCTGCATTGTTATCCCTGTGAAAACCATTTTATCCCATTAGTATCCTGATCCCTCTATAAATCAGGCTTAAAACTTTCTGTAAAGCTATGCAAGTTAAAGCAGTTCTCTTTTGGACTTAATTATGGGACTTATCTGCAACTCCTTTTCATCAAGTCCCTCATTATTATAGATTGAATCAATAAGATTAACACAAAGATGCAATTGGCTATGTCTGATGTTTTCCTGATTGTTTGTTTTGCTAGTGAGAACCTTACCTGAAGGGGTCAGGTAATGATATTGTGTGTTATAGACTGTTTGTAGTTTAAGGACCCTATAGCAGTGCACATAGAGCAGTATGAAGTGAATGGTATTTTTCTCACAGTGGAGTAAGTCGATGTTTTTGGAGGCACGACATCTAATTGAAACATAAAGTGTTAGTGTATGGAAGGAATTTTCTTTCTAATACCTATTTTCGCAAAAATGTTTTTCTAACTAAGAGTTTTTTCAACAGACATCTTGACACCCTGCTTAAAATCTAGCTATGGATTAGTTTGAAAATTGAAAAACAACTTAAAGAAAAGAGAGT